TCCGCGTGATTTCGCGGTGGTGATGAACAGCGTCGTAGGTCAGATGACTATGCCTAGGTTAGTGGGATTTCTAGATAACTCCTCAATGTCTTTGTTACTGACATGACCCACTTCCGTCACAGTAACACAAACGGCGCATTGGATTCTTATACAGTTTCTCCAGGACTTTAATAGCTTACGCTACTCGGTTCTATTAAATGCACACCTGAACCACTCAATGGCTCTTAAGCCAGTTGTTGTTGGGATATTTTACCTTTAGACCATCCTTATTGACTTCTGGAACTGGTGGTATTGTAGATAGATATATCCCGATATCCCATTTAATGATTTAGCGTTATCACGCTTCATTACTGTTTCATATGAATTGTGTACCCTCAGCTTTAGCATATCCACAAGAATACTTCAAATATCTAGTGGCAGCAAAGTAGGGTGGGCTGTAAATTTATCTAAAGTCTGTGCTCCCTTCGGGTTTTTATTACTTTCTAGCCCTTTTTGACTAGTCAGAAACATGCTTGCTACCATAACTTCGACAAGGCTTATACTATGAAAACCAGCGTAACAAAGTATACGCAGCGCAAGGCCAGCATTTTGGGCCACTAGCCAAAGCCAGGTACTGGATCAGCAGTTTGCGAGTAATAGAATTTTCCGCCAACCGGTCGGTAATACCTAGGCAAATAGATAAATCTACGAGTACGGTTGATGCCCAAACGCTTCGTTTCACATTTCTATTAATCCAGTAAGTTGCCAGGCCTAACTGCGCATGTGTTTAAGTCCTAAGATTGATGATTTGTACAGAATTCATTTTTTGACTTTAATAATATCAGGCCATCGGCTCTTACCTCTGTAATTTCCTCCGGTGTCTCTACTTTTATGATGCTATTTTCATCAGCAAGCGCCTCTCCCAGACCCTCTTTCCAATCTCGATATGATATGGCTTGGGCAATCTCTTCTTTGTGAGTTCGTCTGCGTACGATTGAACCATCTGGCAGCGTCTCTTCAATTTCCTCAACATTGTATAGTTCTTCTGGACGACCTTGGATCACATCATAGCCTGCCAAACCTGAATACATAAAATAAAAGATGTAAAATAAACTGGCTGTACGATTAAAGAGAAATAACGTCGATGTCTTAGTAAAGTAGTCGACTGCTTCTGTAAGCCGAAAGGATCGGATTTGAGACTTGCATGCGAGGCAATTTCACCACTGCTGGCTGAAGCTAAACTACACTGCGACGCAACCACGTGTCCGTGACTATAAATTCAGCATGAGACATTGTGTCTTTTGCACAGGTTTGTGCTTGTGAGATTTAAATAATTAATAACAGAAACCTCCAAGTGTTTAATTTTTTGACAAATCAAATTCGTACCAGAGGGTATATGACTTAGACTATCTGTTCCCACCAGGTTGTCAGTGGGGGGTGGATATATCGATGGCGTTAGATTCGCGTCGGCAGATTCCAAGTCGACAGCTCGTGCATACGCCTCCTCGAAGGCTTGCTCGTCCAGGAGATTCTCAGTTGATGGCAAACGCAATTCGTAGGTGGAGTCACTGGCGACGAACTCATCAGATAGGGGAATTGTGTAACACTGTTCAACTTTTGTAGTGGCTTTAAGAAGGAAGATACAAATAAAAAATATACCGAGAGCTTTATGAGCATGCCCTACATCCAGTGTCATAAATTTATCATTAATCCAAGTGTTTGAGGACCCTTTAATTTAGCTAGCTAGTTATCATCGACTGATTTTATCTAAGCCAGGCACCATTACTTGTCATCGTTAAGGTATAACGGCTATAAAGATTTTAAGCTTTGTTGGCTATATTATTGAGCAATTTTAGGTCGGACCATAGTAAATCTGTTTGCTATGATCAGACATTTTATCATTAGACGTGCTATTGATTACTTACTCAGAGCAAATAATAGTGAGGCTGATAATTTGGTCACGCCATTCAAGAGGATGGGAAGATTATGCTTAAGATAACCAGGTAGTCTGTCTACAGATATATTTATAGGAATGATGAGCATGAAGAAATTAGGACTGTGTAGTAATTAAGCCTACTTTCTTCAATTGGGACGTCTGGCATAGTCATAGCCTCTTGTTCTTTGATCTCTTGCAGTTGCCAAGGCACGCCTGAACTTAAAGAGGCCCCTGCCTCTATCGGCACGACGGTTGAAGGTGATCCAAGAGTAAGGAGTCTTCTTGAAAAGCGGTCAACAGACATGACAATCTGATCAGGTTCTTCAACCTCCTGAGCAGCCTCTGGCCCTGATAAAAATGAGGCAAAAATGAACTTCAAAAGAATGGTACAGCAAGAACATGAGAAAATGTTTTTAGCGTAATTACTTAATAGATTGGTGCTTTTGTACCTTTAATTTAGATTAAAAAGTCGGGTGGAAGAGATTCGTGAGTTGGCTTCACTAGACACCAAAAAGGTTTTTATGTGTACTTGTGACTGCTAGATTTTGCGAAGCTGACCTCGGCTGAACGTCTTGCGACGTTAATGACTCCAGGCTAAGTTTACACTCGTCATGTCATGGATATCACCACATTCACCGAAATTAGCACGAGCTAGGTGACCGGTTGAAATCATATCCCTTGATGAGATCTCATTATGTGAGTGAATACCCTTTGCCTACCCTGCATGCG